ACTTGCCAAAAATTAAGCAAGAGTAAATTAAGATGTATTCTTGAATCTTAGTGGGTCTAAAGAGTTGAGAGGCTTGGGTGGAAGCAGGCTAAGATAGAAGGGGAACAGAAGAAGAAAATTTGGAGCTGTGGATGTAGTGTTGAATCATGCTAAAAATGCTTGCCACTATGTGGCATGGGTTGATTTAAGTCTTGAACTTATTTTTAGGAGGTTATAAAAAGGGAACTTCTTTACTATATAAGGGAGACATTCCTGAAAAATTCCATTCCACTCTGCAGCAAGGAATTCTTTTGTGGACCCACAAGTTATAAGCCATTTATCAAATTTTTAAAAGCAGCAGTCATTATGTACTGGGGCAATAAATTATACAAAGTATGTGCTTTTGTGAAAAGCTTGATTTAAACAGTTACATTCAATAGAAATGACAGGAAAAAAGCCTGAGTTCTACATGGCAGAGCATAAGTTGTCTGTGCAATGCATGTTTCCTCAGATGAAAGTAATTAAATGGTGTGAATATGGACTATGCAACTTTTATACAATTAACTTTTTTAGGACTTGACAAAAACTAGATTTCATATAAAGAACTACCTTCATGTTAAAACTGACATTCAAAGTGTTCCTTATCTATTTAAGCAATAAGTCTAAGTGAGTCTGCCTCTTAAAGTTTGAAAACTTATTTTCTTTATGTATCTGAACTCTTCTTCCTTCTCCCCACCACCTCCCATTCTATTTTTGTGGTTATTTAAAAACTAAAAGGAAAAAAAAAAAGCGAAAGTAAATAACCTGGCCCTAAAATAAATAAATAAATAAATAAAACTAAATTTGTTCCAAATGGGAATAAAAAAGGTTGGGGGGGAGTGGCAGCTAGAGAAGGAGAGAAGAAAAAAAAAAAACTTGCCATTTCAAGTTCCACTAGTTTTGAACCGAGTTGCAGCAATTCTACAGAAATACTCCAATCCAGTTGTTTTTCAGTGTGTACAGATTTCTGGAAAATCTGAAACTCTGAAAGATTTTCTATTCTGTCAGACTTTGAAAGTTTGGGGAACAGTTGCATATATTTTAAACTACTGATTTTGAGTGACTTAAAAGAAATTGAATGTAAACTTAACACTGAATAAATGTGGGAGGGCCTTGGGGTTTCTTTTGAGAAAATAAAATCCAGAATGATAATTAAATGTTGGCTAGTGTGCTGACTCTTTTCTGTTCTGTTCCACTTGTGTAAGTACATACAGTGTACAGTAAAAACCATGATGAACTTGAACTTCATGGGAGCTATTAAAAGTTCATCATAACTTATCCACTGCACTTAGACTTCCAGATCAGCTCCCTTGACAGAGGTTTAATTAATAACTGTTTTCCTTCAAGTAGGAAATCTTGCAAATCACTGTTAAATATGTTTGTATTGTGACATTGCACTTTCTCACACTGAGATTTGCAGGGTTCCTGTAAAGTGTGTGGGTTTTTGGTGGTTGGTGGTGTTTGAATATTTACATATGTCACGTGCACAGCCCTGTACTCCATCTGACCTGTAATTCTTGCACTGGGTGAGTTAACTGTATTGAGGATGCTTCGGTATTTGGGGGGAAAAAAGGGTGACCAAGGGGTACATTGAGCTGTTACAGCCTGGCTGAGTATGTCTTTTCTGATCTTTTGCACAACTTCCTTGTAGCCACTACTGTGGTATTGTGGGAAATGGGAGTGTAATAGTAATTCCATCTTGCGGCAACTTATGTCTGCATATACGCATGTGTATATATGAAAAAGTATACCATCAATATTTACAACTTATAAACTGAACTTGGTTTCATTATGAAATGCCATGAAAAATTTTTGTGGTAGTCTGGGCTTCACATATCTGTTTAGAGAACTGCAGCAAGGCAGTGTATAAACTTGGCCTTTGCATAAGGCCAAGTCTTTATTCTTTGGTGTTAAATTCTGTTATGACTCATCACCAGAAAAGCAAATTACCTAGAGATATGTCAGCCATACTTGGGCATGTACAGAAAGCACTGGTGTTTATAACCTCAGTGCCTTTTTTTTTTTTTTAAACTGGATTAAGTTGCTTATTGGAGTCAGATCAGTGTGAATTTTCTTTCTTTTTTCTAGTTATATTTTGCACTTGATCAAATATTTTCATTACTACAGCAAGGACAAATTCTGTCTTTCACCTCTAAACGTGGTTCTGGTATATAGAATCACAGAATTGTTAAGGTTAGAAAAGACCCTTAAGATCATCGAGTCCAACCGTTAACCTATCACTGCCAAGTCCACCACTAAACCACGTCCTCAAGCACCACGTCT